GAGCCCCCGTTTTCTGCAAAAACAGGTTGGAACCCTTGAAAAAAGAGAAAACCAGAAAAACAAGCAAAAAGAAGAAAGAAAAGGGGTTCCAACCATCTTCAAGAAGAAAATCGAGCACCTTGAAAAATGTGATTCCATGATCTTTTGTTTTTTAGAGTCTCTTCATCCACGATTCATTTGTCCTCTGTTCACTATTTGCCATGATGCCGACTCGAGACTAGCGTTCTCGCCGAAGAGGCTATGAGATGACTTGTGCGTCGGTTGACCTCGTAAGCTGCTAAATGATCTAGGAAGTCCGCTACCTACGATCGAGGTTGTTTGTTGCTATAGAGGTCTGGAGAGTTGCATTGGTTTGAGTTAGGTTTGCTTGGGGACAAGCAAACGGTTAAGTGTGGGGGGATTTGATGACTCGATATTTGCACAGGTTTTCCCCTTTGTTCCTTGATCGTTTAAGCTTGCATTATTGCTTCTTTGGCCTATTTTACGCTAGGTTGTGTTCCTTTGTCATATTTCAGGTCCTAGCACATAAAGTGAAGCATTGGCGCAAGTTTCAAGTCAATCAGAGATCAATTGGCGATTCGGGAGAAGAAACTCTGGCATGACCAGAATGGATTTCTACCTCACTTAATGGACAAAGAATCGTGCAAGTTTGACATGAAAAGAAAGAGGACGAGACTACGAGCGTCTGGGATCAAACGGCGACTGATTCGGAGTCCGGACGAGGGAGAAACGAAGCATTGAATATAGGGGAACAGGTTCGGCAGTAAAAACACGGGGAGGAGGCCTTCAAAACACGGCCGTGTTCTGTGACCGTGCTTTTACTGCCGAGAGCAAATCCGAGTTTGGCAGACATGAGCTGATTACACGGGCAGGGCCGAGACAAAGCACGGGCGTGTTTTCCCAAAGCACGGCCGTGTTCTCCCAAAAGCACGGCCGTGTTTTCACCAACAAGATGGCCGTGTAATTAACCCTAGCCAAAGCACGGGCGGGCTGAGGCAAAGCACGGCCGTGCCCTCGACCGTGCTTTGGCCACTGATGCCCTTTTAAGCAGATTTTCAGCCAAAAAGAAGGGGATTCGAGTTTTAGAGAGATAGAGCGATTCCTAGAGAGAGAAAGCGACGAACAAGAGTCTCCAAGCGCCCTAGATCGATCTTCAACACCATTGGAGCTTGGTTTGAGCTTGGAGAAGTGCCGATTCAACGTCCAGGAGCATAAATCCATCTTCACAGTATGATTTCCGCGTCTGATTCTGCTTTTGCTTCTCTCTCCATGGAGTAGTTCCCCCATTCATCTGGGTGTGGGAAACCCTAGATCTGTATGTTAGGTTTGATTGTATGAACCCAAGTATTGATTCTATGATTTGATTATATTCGATTGAGGTTTGAATGATTGAATGACTTGAATCCTGATCAAATTCCTGTTATTTCTGCTTTAACCTAGAATGAGAATATCTGACTAGGTTGATAGAGCATCCTTGATTGAAGGTAGGGAGTTGGTGACTTTAGTCGAGGAACCAACTCACTATTCTGTACCGGCTTTACTCCGGTAGAGGAGGTTTTGTTCTTAGGGCCTCAATCTGTTTACTCCGGTGGAGGTTAGTCGCCCGCTAGAGACTCAGATTGAGAGGGTCTGAAGACCTTTAGTCGAGACTTCAGACTGTTTGAGAACCTTCCGCAGTATAACTTTCATAGAAATTGAACTTGGTAATTACAATCCGGCTTAACTGCAGACTAGGGGGAACCATATCCGGGTGACCTCTCTTAACCTGAATACAACCGTTTAGTTGCTTTGATTGCTTGTTAGTTTAGGCCTTCACTAAAGTTTCATTGCTAGATAATACGAATTCACTGAGTAGTCATCACATCTAGGACCCGGGTTGACATTGAAACCCAAACCCGCTATACTACGCTTTAGGAAGTGGTTACACTTGACCATTTTCTAGAGTGACAGTAACAGCGAGTCACCACCCGAGCTAGATATGAAGGTACTACCAAAAATTTTGGAAAGCTGCATGAGGAAAGTTGTATGTCATCATAAATGTGACACTATGAAATGATCAAAAGGAGAGGCTAGTGGAGGCGCAAATGGTACAAGAAGGCCATAGCCTGAAAGATCACCGACATTCAAGGGATCCTTCCATCATTATGTACGACAAAATACTAATGGAGGACCATCATAAACTAGTGGTGCAACCCCAACAATGCATGCATCCCCATCTCAAAGAGGTCGTAAAGAAAGAGGTGCTAAAGTTATTAACCGCAGGAATCATATATCCCATCTCAGATAGTATATGGGTCAGCCTTACATAAGTGGTGCCAAAAAACAAAGGAATGATTGTCTTACCAAATGACAATGGAGACCTTATTCCTACAAGAACCAAAATTGGATGGAGAGTATGCATCAATTGTCAAAAACCAGATCAGTCATTAGAATTTGAGCTAATGTGACTAGTGATTAATGCATCGATAGTCGAGCTACTGTGCGCAAATCCATCTTTTTACTATGCTCCTTCTAGAGCCCTTCCTTGAAATTATTCTTATTTGAACCTAAGTCGTCATTACAAATAAGGTAGACAAAGGATTTTTCCTTCAAACATCTCGTTATTTTCAGCCTATGCTTAAGGCTCGCTAATGCCTATTATTTTGGACCCTAACCGATTGTCGTAATCGTTTAGTCGGTTGATCGTTTAATCTTCAATTACTAACCATCTAACGTGGTTAATAACCGCTTTACTGTCGGTTAGTAGTTATCTAAGTTTGGCAATCGGAAATCAACATTTTACTGTTTAATCAGTTATAGTGTAACCATTAACCATCGGTTCTGATTTGATTATCCGTAACACCGCTAACAGGATAACCGTTTACAAGTCCTAGTGAAGAGAGATCAATAAATTATAAGTAGACTCTTTTGTATCTATAGCGCGAGTAAAATTGGCTATTTGCTCCCTCACTTGATCATTAATCGGTCACTTCCTCAATTTTCTTTTCACTTGATCCAATTTGTATAAAGTTTTACAGAATGGTGTCTTGAGATTGACTCGTAATTAGTATATATTATTCTATTATCCGATATAATTAGTCTTTAATTATAATTATATCAGATAATAAGGGTAAAAATCATCCTTGTCACTAAACTCATTTTATTAATTCATGTTCACCACTAGACTCTTTATTAGTTCAATTAAACCACTAAACTTGATATAAAAAGACATCATCTGTCACTTCCATTCCAATCTCATGGATCTCATCGTAAAGGTGTTGGCAAAGCTAACAACGCTGATGTGGCAACATCCCATCGAAGAGCTGTCAAATACTCCATGTCATCTGCCACGTAATCTCCCACTCATCTTATGATAAAAAAGAGTAACAAATATTAATAGAAAGCTAGGTTTAAACCAGAGATCTCTTTTTAAATGAAACACACACACCAATCCATCTTTGCAAGTTGAGATCCTCGATTCAATGTTCCCAACGGGCGGCTCCACCTCGACGGTGATGAGAACTTGAGTGGTTGCCCGCTCCAACGGTGACATTGTGCTGCTGGTGGAAGCCCGTTGCGGTGGAAGAAAAGCTTCATTTATGTCTTTAATTTTTTGTTTAAAATAAAATAATTTCAAATGTAATAAACCCAAAAATTGTAAATTTATGAAAATTAGGAATATTTTATGTTTTTATGCTGACTAGGCGGTGATATGGTCAGTTGACCAACAGTCAATGACTTTGACCATCCAACTTAACGAACAACACTCGAGTTTGACCAGTTTAGTAAAGTTTAGGTTAAGTTCGGGCCACAATGTTATAAATCATAATCATTGGCTAGAACATGGCTGATTGTCATAAATGATCACAAAACTATTCACTTTGTACAAAACGATCACAAACCTTTAATTTTGAACATTTTAGTAACATATGTTTGGATTAATAACAAAAAGCTAATTCCGTCCATCTTCATCCAAAAAGCATGTTACTTCCGCCCAATCATCATGCCACATCATTTAAAATATTAATAAAAAATTGAACTGATAACCCAATCAAAAATCCTAATTCTATACCCAACCACCCGAATTCTTTAGACAGAAATAACCGCCAAGTTCCGCCGCCGGTTCCACCAACTCCGGCACCGCCTCCTCAGCGCGTTCATCAATACCATGAATGCGAAGGGATGAACTATTAAACCCCCTCCCAAATTATCATACGCGGAGAAATTAATAGATTGATTGAAGAAGACAAATCCGGAGAAGAGTCGCCGCCATTGTCGTACTCGGATTCTCATTCGCGTAGTAGGCGTTGTCGAGCATGGTGACTATACAGGAAGAGTACAAACAAACAGACCAACCAAGCAAGAGAAGAATCGAATCATGAAATCAATAGTGGTAGCGTTTAAACGTGGAAAAGGAGGGATCGCAAAATCGGAATTCACAAGGAAAGGGGAATCAGTGAGGAAGAAGAAGGATTAGAAGTGCAGAGATCATTTCGAGATGAAACGACTAATTAACTTTTGCCCCCTTCCAAGGATATCAATACCAAGAATCATAGTGGGGAGGGGAGGAGATGGCGACGATGGTATTCATGAAAGCGGTGGGGAGGCGATGCATTTAATGAATGCATGTATTGTATAGAATGCATCGTTTTTTGTGTTAAAATGAAAAACAATGCATGCATTTCATTGATGATGTGATACTTGAAATCATTCAATATGAATGATTTACAATCTCAACAATTTGGTGAGATTGTTGAGATTATGTTTTGAAATTGTTCTTCCATTTTTTCCCCCCTTTATATCTCTATCAACCTTTATGCATTGTTACTCTTCTATGTAAAAAAAAAGGGTAAACATGACCTTTTACTTAAAAAATAACTTTCTCATTTTATTCCTAAAATTACAATCACAACTACCAAACAATGTAATCTTATAATACATGCATTTGAACAATACATCAATATTCATACAATAGATCAATTCTAACTATCGCAATACCTCTTAAAAATATATTAACCCAATTTTCCCTTTTTCCCGAAGGGAGGGGAAGGTGATGGAAGGCGAGCCCAAAGCAAAGCCGGCGACAGTGGAACATTTCTTTCTTCTCATTTTCAGGCGTTTCTCAGCCAAGTTACTTCTTCTTCACAATAGTACTTGACTGAAAACCAAAACCCAGACGCCATTTGTATTAACTTTCCCTTCCGATACTATTAGCATCGTCCTCCTTTTCCTTCAGCAAATTTCCCCTCTTCTTCTTCCCTTCCTTTCTTTGTGTATGAGCTAAAGTAACAGTCTCTCGCTGTCTATCTGCGGAACCCTCCTTTTTCTTTGCGTGCTTTAATGGAGGAGGCAAATAGTAGTTCGGGTGTAGCAAGCAATGTGGCTCGAGCCATAGTTGCAGCTCTCAACTGGAACTCCACTCCCGATGATCGCAGAGCTGCTGTTTCTTACCTTGATTCTGTAGTCTCTCACAACCCACTTTCCCCTTCGCTGCTCTTTTCTTTAAACTCTCTCAATTCTGTTCTTCTTTGACGATTAGAAACTTTCTGGGTTTATCTGCGTAAGTGGAGGGTTTTCTTGGTTTCTAACAAAAACTTGAGGGATTGAGCAGAAGGGTATGATGGGCTGGTACATTTATTTTCCGAAACAATGGAATAGAGTGAGGAGGGAAGTAACAAATTCTTGGAATTTTTTTGTTCCCTGAGGTTTTGTGAAATGTTGATTGTTGCAGTGATATACTATCAAGGCGGCATTTGTAAAAAAAAAAAAAAACTATCAAGGCGGCTCATGGTTAAACTTTGGAGTGTTTTTCTGGTTGCAATGTTGATTGATTCCTGCTCTTCATAGTAGGGTCTATTGCCCCATTGTGTTTGACTGGATTGCTGGTAGTGGCTACCTGTATTTGTCCTCTGGGGCTCCTTTAGTTTAGGAGCTGAATATCGTTTCAGGTTGTTTGGATTGGTTGGTTGTAATGAGAACTTTGGTCAATTGTGAATGTGTGTGTGTTTTTTTTTTTTGGGCCATTTTTTGGGGTTTTGTAGCCACAGAGTATTGTTTGGTTAAGTTCAGGTTTGGTTGTAGAACTTGCTTTGTGTTTACTGTTAGTGTTTACGTTGTGGCTAGCTAATCCAGTCTTGCTTCTTTGCAGATTAAAACAGGAGATGTACGAGTACTGTTAAACACGTCATTGCTTCTTGTTAAAAAGGATTGGTCTTCTGAAATTCGGTTGCATGCTTTCAAGTTGCTGCAGGTCTGTGGTTTTGTAATGTTGTTCTTTGCTTCCAGAGGGCTTCTAGGTGCTATTTTGTTATATATATATTGTTGAGTAGCCTGACTGGAGATCACATTTTTTCTCATGTAAAGGATGAAGGGTCTTTAAGAAATGTTAATTGATTGAAATTATGCCAAGTTGAGTTCGTCTACATTTGTGCAGCATTTAGTTCGGTTGCGTTGGGAGGAACTCAGCTCGATAGAGCGCAGAAACTTTGCGAATTTAGCTGTTGAATTGATGTATGATATGACAAACCATAGTGAAGAATGGCCATTGAAGAGCCAAAAGGCTGCACTCGTTGCTGAGGTTCTTATAACGTTACCTCTAACTGTTACTCTGTAAACTTTGCGAATTTAGCTGTTGAATTGATGTATGATATGACAAACCATAGTGAAGAATGGCCATTGAAGAGCCAAAAGGCTGCACTCGTTGCTGAGGTTCTTATAACGTTACCTCTTATTTGGTTTAATTAGTTTTTGTCTTTGTGTGCAGATTGTTAGAAGAGAAGGTATACAACTATGGCAAGAACTGCTGCCATCTTTGACTTCCATATCCAACCAAGGTCCTGTGCAGGTGAGTTCAACTCAGCATCTTTAGCTCCACTGGAACCATAGTTTCCTGTTATGGTTCCTGCTGAAGCCTGCATATGGTAATTTTGGATTTGCCCTTCTCGGATTAGGCTGAGTTGGTTTCAATGATGTTGAGGTGGCTTCCCGAAGACATTACAGTTCACAATGAAGATTTGGAAGGTAGGAAGGAATTATCTTGCTGGCAAATTTTTCCGTGTTACATTTTTGCATGCTTCGTGGGAACTCTTCATTTTGAACACTGGAAATCCTGTAGCTCATTTGCTGATTTCTTCAGGGGATTATAATTTATGGGTTGGTTCTTCAGAAAAAGGAGGGCCAAAATAAATTATGGGGCTTACCATAAATTCTTTAAACCTAGAGAAATAACGATCAATAGTTCTTGCATGTGTCCTGTTGAGATAAAGTTATATATTGTTTACTTGCTTTCCTAAATTTATTTTGTGATTCTAATGTATGCTTAGGTGATCGTCGGCGCCTATTATTAAGGGGGCTTACGGAGTCTTTACCGGATATTTTGCCATTGTTATACACTGTATACCTCTGAACTTACCTCTGCTATGTTTTAGTGCTCTTTGTTTAGCATAATTGTAATGCCTTAGACATTAATGCAGATACTAGAACGGCACTTTGGAGCTGCATTAAGTGAAGTGAGTCGGCAGCACATGGGTGTAGCAAAACAGCATGCTTCAACTGTGGCTGCTGCTCTGAATGCTATTAATGCATACGCCGAGTGGGCTCCTTTGGCTGATCTAGCTAAATTCGGTATAATCCATGGGTATGACGCTGCGAAAAAGTCAAGAGAGAAATTTTCATCATTCTATGCTTTCATCCTTTTCTCACTTCCTGCATGCCTGTGGGGTTTCTTTTGTCTTTCTAGGTGTGGTTTCTTGCTTTCAGCTGCAGATTTCCGTCTTCATGCCTGTGAATTTTTCAAACTTGTCTCTTCAAGGTAAATACCGTCTAGTATTCTGAATGCCTAACAAATGAGACTTATGAGGTTGTAATGTGCTCCTTAATATTATCGGGACTTTCAGGAAAAGGCCAGTGGATACTTCTGCTTCAGAATATGATTCTGCAATTAGTAGCATCTTCCAGATTCTGATGCAGGTGTCTAGAGAACTTTTGTACAAGTCTACCTCAACCGCGGGTTCTATGGATGAGAATGAATTCGAGTTTGCTGAATACATATGCGAAAGCATTGTGTCTTTGGGCTCTACTAATTTGCAATGCATTACTGGAAACAGTTCTATGTTATCTATTTACTTACAACAGGTAACTTATGTTAAGTGTACCAAATGGCTGTCCAATTTGATTAGTCAAAATGTTAATAGTTTGAGGATAGCTGATAATCCAACTCTATTTGTTTTAGATGCTCGGATTTTTCCAACATTATAAACTCGGTCTTCATTATCAGTCGCTGCTCTTTTGGCTGGTACGTTGAACAATTTGCAGATCATTTGCACATTCTGTGGCCTTTTATTTAGGCTTGCTGATTTTTCTCCTTCTGTTTAAGGCACTAATGAGGGATTTAGTGATGAAGCCAAAAGTTACATCAGCTCCATCTGGTGATGTCTCTGGTTCTGCTCAGCTTGACAATGAGAAACAAATGATTTTGAGGCTTGTTAATGAGGATATCTGTGGTCCAATCCTAGATGTCTCTTTCCAGCGCATGATTAGAAGAGAGAAAGCATTTCCTGGGTCTTCTTTTGCTCCAGTTACCTTGGAGTTGTGGAGTGATGATTTCGAAGGGAAGGGAGACTTTAGCCAGTATCGTTCTAAGCTAGTAAGTCTTCTTGTATATGTATATAATAACTATTGTTTGATTTTTGTATTATGTTCCTTTTTCTCTGAGATTCACACTTGTATTCTCTTCTTGCTTGTACGATGCAGTTAGAGCTCATGAAGCTTATTGCATCCTTGAAGCCCATATTAGCTAGTAGTAAAGTGTCCGACAGAGTTTTTTTAATCATTAACACCCCCTTCGCTTCCCTGGTTCCTCTTCAGGTGTGACGATAACCCTTTTGGATACATAATTGGTGGATTTTCTGTATACTGTACTGTCACTAAAGGCTTAAACTTGATCTCAATTTTCAGGACCTAGCTATGATGGAGAGCGTCCAAGTCTCTCTAGAAAATAAAGTTGCTTCAGTATTTGATGGATCAAATGAATTTTCTGGGGGTGGTACTGAACTCCATCTTGCATTGTGCAGAATATTTGAAGGTATCTTATAAACCTTTTTTTCCTATTGAACCGATCCTTCAAGTTTGAATATTTTCTGATATGAACCTTTGAATGTGAATTGAAGGTTTGCTTCAGCACCTTCTATCCCTTAAATGGTCAGAGCCAGCTCTTGTGGAAATCCTAGGGCGCTATATGGATGCATTAGGTCCTTTCATGAAGTACTATCCTGATGCTGTTGGTGGTGTCATTAACAAACTATTTGAGCTTCTAACATCTCTTCCTTGTGTTATGAAGGTTCTTACTCAACACCAATCTTTTGTTTTCTGTTTATCACTATGTTAATATTTAATAGTCGTAAGTTAATGTTATCATTATTTTCATTTGGCAGGACCCCTCAACGAGTGGTGCAAGGAATGCAAGGTTACAGATCTGTACTTCGTTCATACGAATAGCAAAATCTGCTGATAAAAGCATCTTGCCCCACATGAAGGTGAATTAGTTCCCTTGTACCTTTCCTTTTTGTTTATTTCTCCATTGATCTTACGTTCTAAACCCATAACAGTGGGCTATGAAAAGTACAATGAAAGAAGGGCGTGAATGTGATGATCTCCTGTAAACTTTTATTTCCTACAAGTGCATCCCTTCAGCAATTGTTTGTGAAGTTTGAAGACTTGTTCCATCTTTGTTATGTAGGGTATAGCAGATACTATGGGTTATATGCAAAGGGAGGGCTGTTTGCTTCGCAGTGAACACAATCTTCTGGGAGAAGCATTCCTTATCATGGCTTCTGCTGCTGGGTAACATCTTTGCCTCAACAGGCCCATGGTTGTACCTTTTTTGACAAATAATAATGGATAATGTGCTAATTCTTGTGTACTGCTTGATTTGATGTAGGCTTCAACAACAACAGGAGGTTTTGAACTGGTTACTCGAACCATTAAGCCAGCAGTGGGTGCAATTGGAATGGCAAAACAGTTATTTATCCGAACCATTAGGTGTAGTTCGTTTATGCTTGGACACATCATTAATGTGGTCAATTTTTCACACAGTCACGTTATTTGAAAGGGTGCTTAAAAGGAGTGGGTTCAAGAAGGACAATTTGAACTCAGAGAACAGCTCTATGCAGCATCCTTTGAGTTCTCATCTAGCTTGGATGCTGCCTCCTCTCTTAAAAGTACGGTGCCTCAATTCTAAAGGAGAAATGTCCATCTTTTCCCTGCATTTGAATGCAACTGATGCTTCTTTGGTTCAATGTTGATATGCAGCTTCTTCGTGCTTTGCATGCCCTTTGGTCTCCATCTATATCTCAAACTTTACCAGCAGAGGTAAAAGCTGCCATGATGATAACTGATGCGGAGAAATACAGTCTTCTTGGAGAAGGCAACCCCAAAATATCGAAGACATCGCTTACTTTCACTGATAGTTCTCAAGCCGACACAGAGGCAAATGAGGTTGATATAAGGAATTGGTTAAAAGGAATCAGGGACAGTGGGTAAGCATGATTTACTTTTGGAATTCCATTTCTTTCTATCAAAACTTAAAACTTTTGCTCTCCATCGTTTTATGTAGTTCTCAGCACACTGTGTACATGAGTCTTTCTCTGGTTTCAGTTACAATGTGTTGGGCATGGCAACAACAATTGGGCATCCATTTTTCAAGTGCTTCGACGTTGACTCAGTTGCATTGGCACTCATGGAGAATATACAGTCAGCAGAGTTCAGACATTTGAGGCAGCTCATTCATTCAGTGTTGGCCCATTTGGTGAAATCTTGCCCTCCAGAAATGTGGGAGATTTGGCTGGAGAAGCTTCTCCATCCTTTACTCATCCACCTGCATCAAGTTCTCAGCTTCTCTTGGTCCAGTCTTTTGCATGAAGGCAGAGCTAAAGCTCCAGACGTGCAGTGCATCCTTGCCACATCAGATTTGAAAGTGGAAGTAATGGAGGAGAAGCTGCTCCGAGATTTAACTCGTGAGATGTGTACTCTTCTATCAATCATGGCATCGCCAAGTCTTAATACAGGGCTCCCGTCTTTAGACCAATCTGGGCATATTAACCGCTTGGTGGATACTTCTTCTTCTCTAAAGGACTTGGATTCTTTTCTCTCAAACTCCATGGTCGCGTACGTAGCAATAAACATCCTTAAGTCTTATGTTTAGTGATGTCGGTAGGGTTGTGCATGATAGGACCGGATTAAATGCACTTTCTTTCCATCTGGTTCGGCATGTGCGCGCACCCATACTACTTAAATATTTACTCTGGATTTTTGTGCTCATACCTCAAGTTCTTTTTTATTTATTAATCTTTGGCAGTTTCATGTTGAAGCACAATAGCTTGGCGATCCCAGTGTTGCAGATTTGTATCGAGGCTTTCTCATGGACGGTTGGCGAGTCCATGACAAAAGTTTGTTCCTTTTGTGCTGCTGTGGTTGTTCTATCAATCTCAACTAGAAATGTCGAGCTACAGAAGTTTGTCTGCAAGGATCTTTTCTCGGCAGCCATCAAAGGTTTGACGCTCGAGTCGAATGCTATAATCAGTGCAGATTTGGTTGGTCTTTGTCGCGATATCTTCATCTATCTTTGCGACAGGGATCCTGCTCCTAGACAGGTACTTATCTGGGAACTTTCTTTTAGATATTTCATATTTAGGATCTAATGATAGTGCATCTAGTCTGGCTCTGGCAGTTGGATGGGAAATGTGATGTTTTCCCCGTATCTGTCCCCAGGTTCTACTCTCTCTTCCATGCATCTCACCTCTCGATTTGGCTGCTTTTGAGGAAGCTTTGACCAAGACGTTGAGTCCAAAGGAACAGAAGCAGCTCATGAGGAGCTTACTCATGTTAGCTACTGGGAACAAGTTGAAGGCTCTCGCTGCCCAGAAAACTGTAAATGTCATCACAAACGTTACAGGTAAAGTTCAACAGCACAGGTTTTTGACTGAAGTTTTATGAGTGGTGTGATTTGGATCTTTAACTCCGTGTCTTCTTGCACTTCTGACTTCCAGCAAGGCCTCGTAGCGCGGTAACTGCTGCAACAGAGGCAAGAATTGATGATGGGGAGCCCGTGGGTCTGGCAGCTATAATGTGAAAGGGTTTTGATATGGTTCACACGGTGCAGAATGTACAGCAAAATCACAGTTCTAACAGGAAAGGAGGAAGTTACTAATGACAAGACAGAATACACCAGTGGTAGAGAAGAGAATTTAGAGAAGGAGAAAGAAAGGGCAAAGCTTTTATTTTGCCTCCTAATTAACTACGTCGAGAATGATGTTATGTGGCAGAAAGAGTTACATGCTGTATTTGTATAGCAGGAAAGTTTGGTGTTTTTGAAAGAGAGGTACTTAGGAGAGTAGTAGTTGTGAATGGTAGGTGGGAAGAAGAGCAGCTGGGGAAAATATTGGAATGGACAGTTGGAACTTGAAACTTGAGTCCACTTTCCCATCTGCCTTCCTAAGTTTCAAGCAGCTTTTGGTCTATAAAAGGATATGAAGCCGAGTTTCTGTTCCCCTGTAAAGTTTGAGTCTTTTGGCTCTAGGCAGGAACTCTGATTGTTTGTGACCGCCCGCCGGTGGTTGATCGTCGTTCATTTCCTGCTTGACAAGGTTAGATCGGAATGGGACCGGGCGGTTGGGCCCCGCCGGGACCGGGTGGACCTGGGCCTGGACCAGGGCCGGGCGGGCTGTTTGGTGGGCTCTGTAATATCATAGGCTGTTGGTATGTTACGTCGATTATTTATTTTATATTTTCTCATCATTTGGACAGATTGGTAGTATCTATGTGAAACTGTACTTGCTAGGGTTTAGTAGCTAAAAGTAATTTGACTTCCTTTTTGCAGCCTGAATTTTCTGTGCTGTTGCTGGTTATTCCAAGACTGCTTCGGTGGTGGTCCACTGGGCCTTCCTTTTCCTGCACCTGGCCCAATGGGCCCTCCATTTGCTCCTCCTGGCCCGATGGGCCCGCCTCCTCCTTGATCAGCTATAACTCTGCATTAGGAACATTTCAAGATCGCCATGTTTTCTTGGCCTCGTGCTGGAATGTATTTACCAAAAATGAAATAAAGACACTGCTTGTTATAATTCTTGAGGTATCATAGCGGTAGATTTCATTTCAACCTATCCACATCAGTGGATGAGGGCTTCAAGCAACAGTAGTTTTCAATTTGGGGATCTAATGAATGTCAAGGTGGTTTTAGTCACTACAAACCACTTTATTTTTTTTTTCACGAAAAAGATCGCTTGTATTATCAAGAATAACAAAGTTATATCAGCCCGACTTCCGAGCACAACCACACTCGGAAATCAAAGCCATCACCCCCTGTTGGAAATAAATTCAGGGCCTTCTTGGCCACCAAATGGGTCACCCTATTCTTCTGTCTACCTACAAACTTAACGCTAAACCCCGAGTGAGCATCAAGAAGCAGGCGAACTTCCTGAAAAATTGCCCAGGCCTTCGCTTCCTTAGTGATCCTGCCGTTTACTTTGTCAATCACCACCTTGGCATCCCCGAAGAACCCGACATTATGAAACCCTACCCCCACATACCATCGCATCACGAAAAGCCTGCAACTCCACCAACATTGGATCCACCACGCCATCACTAACTTGCTCCTTTGGCCATCACGACCATTCCGACAGCATCCCGAAGCATGAAGCCCACCGAACCATGTGAATCATGATAGACCGCCCCATCAAACAAACACACGAACTCTCCCGACAAAGCTTCCGACTACCCAACCTGTTCCACCTAGGAGTGTCCATTCAGGTTCGGTTTTTCGAATTTACCCGAAACCGACCCGATTATATACATTTTCGGGTTTTTGGGTTCGGGTTCGTTTCAGGTTTTGGGTTTTTCGGTTTCGGGTTCGGTTTTGCTTATCGGTTTTTCGGGTTTTGTCTAAAACCTCCAATGAATAGAACTCATCCCGTATTCTTAGGCATTCGGGTTTTCGGATTTCAGTTTTGCTTTAACCGAACCCGAACCCGCAAGTCCTTATCGAGTTCGGGTTCGGTTTTAGTGATTTTCGGTTTCGGGTTTTCGGGTTTTTTCGAGTTTCGGTTCGGGTAACCCAACCCGACCCGAACTGACACCCCTAGTTCCACCGGAGCGGTAGAGACTGACAAGTCACTGTTAGGGAGAGTAGCCACCCACTCCTCAACTTGAAATTTAAAGTGCCTATCCAATACACTGAATGAACCCTGTTGCCCTTCAAAGGCCACCAAATTCATGGACTTCCAGATTACACACAAGAGATGAACTACCTTGTGTGAAGAAAACTACAAACGTTAAACCCTGTAGGGATTCCAATTGCATACTCATATGATATATGAAGGAAAGAAACGTGAGTTCCATCCTTCTCTTCTCTCCCTGTCCGTCAATCTTTAATTGAAACTCTCCCTCTATAACATAATCCACTCCCCTTCCTTTAGAATTCACTTCAGTAGGATACCCTTATGAATTAGCTCAATTGATGGTAAAGATCAAAGTGCATGTATCATATCTATGAGTCTATTTGCGGGTTAATTTCACAAATATATTTTTTTAATTTTATCACCAATTTTGCGAGAATCTAGTTCTGAGTATACATCGTAATGACGAAACAGTACAAGATAGTGATATGATCATAGATTTCACTTACATACATCCAGAATGGCAGAATGGTGTTCTATCCAATTATGCGATTCCTATTGTGGATGATGATAGTATGAATGTGCTTTTCAATTTTATTGCACAAAACCCTTATTGTTTCGGTGTCGAGATACATGCTGAGATTAATCAAGGTCAGGGTGAAGATGAGACATGGAGTGTGCCATCTAATCATGACTATGATGACGGAGAGGAGGAAGATGGGGAGGAGGAGGAGGAAGAGGAAGAAGAGCCTAATTATCCTCCGGATTTTTACTTGCAGGGTAATGAAGAGGACGATGATTATCATATGCCGTAATTCCAATGCCTATTGTTCCTGGTTTCGAAGGAGAATTCTACAAGGGGCAGATCTTTCACTCCATACAAGCTGCACAGGTGGCGATTAAATATCACACACTACAACGCAACTTTCAGTATGTCGTGGTGGAGTCGACATCTTCAATCTGGAAGGTCAAATGCTTGAAGCACAAGGATGACAATTGTGCTTGGATGGTGCGGTTTGGATGTCGAGATGTTGGAAGTGAATGGACTGTGAGAAAGGCCGATTGATGCATTCTTGTAGCAGTACGAATCAACCGACGGATCATCGTCACGTTATATCTAAGTCTGTGAAGCATTTGATACGCGTGCCCAACCAAATATGAGTATAATAACATATTGATTAATTATTTTAGATTATAATTATATTTATGTTTGAATTATTGCAACAAATGAATTGTAGTCAAATTGTAAATATGTTTATTAATAACATGTTTATTAATATGTTCTCTCTCTAAAATATTAAGGGAGACCTGCTTTGGATCTGCCATTGCATGCATGTAGAATCTATTTATAAAGATAAAATATAGGCTTAATTCACCTACATAGCCATAACTTTCGCGTTATTGACAATAATAGCCACTTTTTGAAAAATACATAGATATAAATTTACATACTTGTAATAATCAAATTAGTTGATTTATAAATATATATCTTGTGTTGGTATTATACAAACAGTTTAGAAAGTAGAATATCTATATCCCATACAACAAACCTTATAACCCTAAACCCATGAAATAATCAAAGTAGTTCTATAGCTAGATCAAATATGTTGCTTGTATAAAAAAGATCATATGCACTGTTTATCATGGTTTGCCAACAAGGTTAAACCAGTGTTGTTAAATTAGTTGGGGGCAAGCTCGTGTCAACTCTACTCATTAGCTGCCCTGCATATAGCTAGATCAATTATAGTGTTTTATCATAAATTTCAACGTGGTCATACTGTTAATCAAATAAATCTCGATCAATGGGGTCATATTATATTTAAATTTCTTTTAATGATTAGTTCAAATATACTTTGATAGTCCCAAATTACAAGATACAGCATTTACACGACATAAATTCATGTGCTTAATCCCAAAAGTTTAAGTATATACTTAAAGCAATTTTATTAGCTAATCCCAAAAGTTTAAGTATATAATTAGTGAGGAGTTAGTAGTTAATAAATAGTTAAGGGTATTTAAGTAATTGGCATATTTTTTTCTTAAATATCTCGGCCAACTCTAGGGATGGCAATTGAGATCCGCTCTGTTGGATATTACCCGATCTGATTTGTGTTGGGGCGGATAAAATCCGACCCGTATTAGAACAGGGAGGATTTTGATCTGATCCGTAGCTAAATAGAGTGGGGCATGGATTACCTCTGCTGCCCCGACTTGCTCCGCTCTGCTCCAAACATTTCACACTTCACGAACACCAAAAAAATCCCCATCATCTCAACCCTACACCTTTGTCTCCTTGGTCCATGTACTAAGAAAAGCATCTACCTTTCTCGATTCTTTCCAACCCACATAAATCATAATAAATGAATTACCTTCCCAATATGCGCTTCATCTTCCTTTCCAATTTTACCTCCTTACTTCCGTTTGCCTTGAGTGCTTTCTTCTACCCTCTTGTATCTTCTGCTAATATCCCCCCCCCCCCCCCCCCCGTCGCTTTATTCTTTTCTTAGGCTATACACCACTAGTGTTCTCTATACAGAATCAAAACAAGAATTTGATCATAATGATTCAAGTTTGGGCATTGCTGTAGAAGGGTCTCTAAGTTTGCGAGAGTTACGGTGGAGAGATGATGGCCGATTTTGGTCAGATTCTTAGAAAGGAGAAACAAGTTTATAGCCTTAGAACTACTCCCTTCTTCCTATGCGATTCTACCGCTTCTTCTCCTGACGCTAACTCTGGTCGGGAAATCAAACTCCTCTACCGCTCTGCCTCTTCTTCTTCAGACCCCTCCATTGGTTGGAAAATAAAAGAAAATGTAATTCCAGTTAGCCGGCAGATCAGAGCGGGTATTATCCGACCCGTGCGGGGCAGTGAGTGGATCAGAATTTGGTGATCCGTCTCGGAGCACTGAGCAGAGCGGATCCGAGTTTTAGGAGGCAGGGTAGGGCACGGATTCACTATGATCCGCCCCAAACCTGCCCCGTTGCCATCCCTAGCCAACTCATCCAACCTTTCTTGTTCTTATTCCAACCACCATTACCATATTTGCCTCTCACCATTAAGATTTCCCCTTCTTCATCATCTTCTCAAATGTCCATTTTTAAAACTTCATATATTAATTTTAAATATCTTTGAATATTAATATTAATTTTAAATTTCCATTTAATTGTATTAATATTTTTATAATCTTATTTTCCCTCTTCGTTTATGTCGTTAATAAAGTCTACGTCCTATACTTTTGATAAAATTTTCATTTAATTTTCAATATAAGTATTAACGTCATTAACAAAGATTATACCCAATAGTTTTCGTTGAAAAATGACGTGATATCGTAAAGAAGTTGAATATAATTTTGAAAGCGATAATAATAATGTTTTCTATCATTAATAATACCAGACATTAATGTTGATAACACTGTGATCAATTGATAAAAAAAAATTATCCAAAAATGTTGATAATACCTTGAAGCAACACTACCATGTGTTTGCACCATTGAAGTGAGTATTAATCATTTATAGCTGATTGTTAACGAATTTATATTGATAACTGTTTGGTTAGGAACCAAGCATTGTTGATATTTTTTTATTTTCTTTTGAATGGTTTACAACAACACTGTTAATGTTTTTTATATAGGTATTGTTAATGACTTATGTTATAGTTATTAAAGTTTTCTAATAACAATATCATATTTTGTATATTATTAATGGATGGGTATGAGCGTATCAAAGTTTGAGAAAGAAATATTAATAAAATATAGCATGATTGAAGATCATTAGATCCAATCATTATCGATGATCTTGTTTGTATTTTAAATGAAACACAACTTATCTATTAATAGTATTTATGTACTATGAACATTACTCATTTAGATGCAATTAGTATCAATTATTTTACCTATATTTTCAATGCCAACATAGCTTAGTTATTAATGATTAGGTGTATCATTATCAATGTTTTGATGTGTATTCTTATAATATTAAAGCATTCATTGATACATTGAAATTATTAATAATAACGGGTATATCATTAATAAATCATTTCATAAACGTTCATAATGCAATTGAAAGTCATTGTAAGAGGCCTCGATGGTTAGTTATGAACATGACATCAAAACGTGAATCGTAAATAGATGTTGTAGATCAATCATAGTGCTATTCAAATCATTAATGATGATGTTACATAACTTTAATAAGTCATTCACAAGTGTTGATGATGAAAATGTAAATCGTTAGCAATTGATATAAAATGATTAATAATATTTTTTTTGGTGAGAATCGGGTGCCTAGCACCCTGTCATCTTATTCAACAATCGACCGAATGGTAAAACCACCAACAGAGTCAAAAAGGGCCCACCGACAAACATCCGGGTCCGATACATCAATCATATGAGTTCCAGGATACAACAGATGTCCCTTGTGAGCTAGACAATCAGACAAAAAGTTGGCCTCTCTATATATATGTGTGACTCGAACTGTCCAATCTCGACGAAGCAGGTCCTGAAAACGAATGGTGAGATTGGCGTGCTGGTGACAGTGCTGACCAGTGTCTAGGAGCAGTGCTATCGCCATCTTGGAGTCAAGCTGTAACTCCACCTGGCGATGCCCAGCCTCCCAAGCTAGCTCGAGGCCCTTCAGTGCCCCCCAAATTTCGGCTCGGGTGATGGAACATCTTCCCAGGTTCATCGTATAGGCACCCAACAAGCGACCCTGCCAGTCTCTAAGCGCTCCTCCTGCCGCGGTAGACTCAGACGGTCACAGGAGCGAGCCATTTGAGTTCACTGTGATCCACCCTGTCGGGGCCGGTCTCCACCCCACGGCCATGTCTCGACGCGACCCCGACCTCCCCAGTGTCAGATTGTGTTCCGCGGTGCTACTCTGCTGAGCGACGACCTCCCAGGCTAGGATCTTTTGCGCTAACTTGTTGGGGGCTTCTACAATGTCTGAAAAGATGAAACCATTCCGAGCACGCCATAGGAACCAGCAAGTAAAGCCAAAACGAACCTGGTTTTGGGGGCACTTGACTGACTCTGTGAACCATTCATGGAGCGTCCGGGTGTCATTCGGTATGATCAAGGACGGCAGGGTCGCAGTCCAGACCTCTTGCGCAAAGCTGCATCGGCGAAGAACGTGGTCTAGAGTCTCTTCCTCAGAGTGGCACCGTGGGCAGTTTGCTCGGTCGGCGATGTGGTGACGAGCGCGCTCCGCGTTGGACAGCAGCCGGCCATGAGCTGCGAGCCAGAGGAAATGGCGGACTCGGTTGGGGCCTGGCCACTTCCACAGCTTCCTCCACATAGTGCTAGCTTCGCTGCCATCAATTTCCGCCACCATCCTGTACGCCGATTTAAGGGAGAAGTGTCCCCTTTGCTCAAGTCCCCACACTAGCTCATCGTTGCCGAGTTCCTCTCTCGGAACAGGCATGCCCACAACCTGCAAAGTCACGTCAGGGGGTAAGTATTGTTCAAAGGACGCCAAGCTCCACTCACCTTCGCTTGTCACCATGTCAGCCACGCAAGCATTGACGGGGAATTGGTCATCGACGTTGGTGACGTGGTCCGCCAAAACCGTCCCACTGTCCAGTCAGGCCGCCTCCCAGAATGACGTGGACTTCCCATTGCGAACGCTCCAGCGAGCTCCCCCATCCATTAGCCTCCATACCCGACGAATTCCCCTCCATAGTGCCGAGTGTCCCGTCTTCCTGCGAGCACTAACAACGCCATTAGGGCCCTCCATCCGTACCCAAAGCTCATTTGGGCACTTAAGGATATTCCAAGCAAGCTTGACGAGATAAGCATTATTTAAGTCTCGAGCACTACGCAGACCGAGTCCGCCCTGATCTTTGGGCCGACAGATCGTATCCCAGTCAATCAGGTGAACCCGGCGACGCCCTTGTTGTGAGCCCCAAATGAAACCACGAATGCGCTTGTCGATGTAGTCACATATGGCGGCTGGTAAGACCGACGTTTGCATCGCGTAAGACGGGATGGCATTTAACACTGCCAACGCTAGGGTCACGCGGCCTGCAAGTGAAAGATTATCAGCTTTCCATCCCGCGAGTCTCTGGTCCACCCGGTCTATGAGGTATTGGTAAGTTTGCCTCGTCACTCGGCCATGCAACACCGGGACTCCCAAGTACCTTCCCAAGTCTTGCGTCATCGGGATACCGAGGCTGGTGCTCAGCTGCCGACTTTGGTCCCTCCTGACATTCCTGGAGAAATAAACACTCGACTTCTCTTTGCTGACTAGCTCCCCAGAAGCTACACAGAATTGGTCAAGGCAGTGAAGGATTACGTTCACCTGCTCTTGCGAGGCCTCTGCAAAAAGAACAAGATCGTCAGCAAAAAAATTGTGTGATATTTTGGTACCTCCTCGGACAAGGTGTATCGGCTTCCACCTCCCATTCTCAACTGCCTCCTCGATGAGATGGCTAAGTCTTTCTATGTAGAGAGTGAATAAGTACGGAGATAGGGGGCATCCCTGCCGAATCCCTCTTGTCGGAACAAACCTCTCCGTCGCCGAACCCTCCCACAGAATCTCCATAGTTGTGCTGGTAATGCACCCCATCACAGCTCGAACAAACGCTGGCGGCATCCCCGCACAGTGCATAGTATCCTCAATGAAACTCCACCGGAGGCGGTCATAGGCTTTTGCAAGGTCTATCTTGAGCACCATTTGCCCCTTGCCACTTCTCCTCGTGTGCATCGAGTGAACGAATTCTTGCAGAATAATGATGTTATCTTGTATATGTCTCCCCGGAACAAAGCTCGTCTGGTTGGGGCCCACAAGCTGTGACATCAGAGGCTTCAGCCGGTTGGCCAGGCATTTGGCAAAAGTCTTGTAGGTGACATTACATAGACTTATGGGCCTGAAGTCAGAGACTCTCTCAGGCTGGGAGCTCTTGGGGATAAGCACCAGAAGAGGCTCGTTAACTGTCGCTACAAGCTCCGGATCCCTAAAGCAGTCAGTCAAGAAGCGAACCAACTTTAGACCCACCGTTAGGGTTGGGCATGCGGGCAGATCATCCGCGGGTTTGGGCCGACCCACCTGCATTTGACCCGAATTTCGTTAAGTGGGTGGGTCTGTGGGTGGGTGACGGGTTGCACTGGGAGCCATCCGTCGGGTGGTGGGTGGGTTGTGGGTGAGTGTGCGGGTGACCTGCTCAACCCAACAGCAAAAAGATCAAAGTCGTTGGCGCTAGAGAGAGGAGAGTGGAAACGTTAGATATAAACTCGGACTGCTCCTGGAGTTTGAACCTCAAAGCCAACCTTCCAAATAGAGATCCCCTCTTCTTCCCTTTACTTTTTCCTCTAATTCTTGTGCCTAGATCACCGCTCTTTCCTTTGTGGAATTATTTTTCTTAGTTCCTTGCACCTAATAATCGTCTCAATCTGTAGAAAACTCTTTCATAATAGAATTTCTATCCGATTTAAGAACTAATTCGACATTTTTCGCCCTATTTCAACTTCTTGTTTCCCTCGATGATTCTCTTCACGAATTATCATGTCAAATTGAATTCTTTATATTATATACATTGTGATGTGGGTGAACCCACAAACCCACCCGCATCATCCACCATCCGCCCGACCCAACCCGAGACTAAATGTGGGTGGATGGTGGGTTAAAAATTATCAATCCATTTAAGCGCGGGTGGGTGTATTTTATGGTCAAAATCCACCCGACCCACCCAATGCCCACCCCTACCCACCGTCGTTCAACACTTTTGGAAGAAAAGTGGCTGATATCCATCCTTCCCCGGTGCCTTCAGGGCACCCATGGATTTAAGCGCATCTAAAATTTCATCCGCCCGGAGCTCACTATCAACCGAAAGGAAGGACCCTTCCAGCAAGGGGAACGAGTCCTGGAGAGTGGGTGCCTCCCCTGCCACCTCGAGATATAAGTCTATATAGAACTCACGGACCATTCCTTGAAGCTGGATGATGTCTTCAACCCATTCGTTGTTCGCTGACTTGAGACGTCTGATACGATTCCTACATCGACGCTTCAGGGTAGCCAAATGAAAGAACCTAATGTTGCTGTCTCCATGCACGAACCACTGCGCCCTGGACTTCTGGTACCACATAATCTGTTCATGCTGAAGCACCTCCATCACTTCAGCCCGTGTACTTTCCTCCATGTGAAGACTAGCCGGGGAGGGCGAGTGCTCGTTCCGCTCTTCTAACCTCTGCAACTGGTTCGCCAACTTCCTCTTTTTCGCAAGAATATTACCAAACACTTCCCGGTTCCATTGACTCAACACCGAAGTAAGACCTGCCACTGCCTCCCTGTACTCCGAACCTGCCGACCAGCCTTCCTGCAAGACGCGGGGGAAATCATCATGGAGTAGCCAAGGCGCTAGGAAGCGGAATGGCTTATGAGATCGGTCCTGATTCCGAGTATGATCACAGGATATAAGAATGGCCCGATGATCCGATTTAATCCTCAGAAGATGAAGTGTGTTCGTCTCAGGGAAATTCTGCAACCATAAAGAATTACATAGAGCGCGATCCAGGCGTTGACGCAAAGATCCCCGCTGCCACGTGAATCTCGGTCCACTAAATTCGACATCGAGAAGGTGTTAGAAACACGTTTTCCTTAAGAAAATGGGGTTTCTACCATATTAATTATTATTGTTATTATTAGGTTTTATTAAATATGGTTAGTAGTCTTTTAGTAGAATTAGGTTTAGTATTAGGTTTTCCTATCTTTTTCTATAAATATGTACTTGGGTATTCCGTTACAATCAAGCAAGAACAATTATTCAGAAAAGTATCTCAAACCCTAATCTCTCTCAATTTCGTCACCTATCCCTAGGCCGTCGGCCATTCTTCTCCTCGATCCCCAATTTCCTCTTCTAAATCCCTAATCTCCAATTCTATTCTTCCCAATTCTATCTCAATCCCTAAATATCTATCAATTCTCAATCTTATCAAACCGATCGTTAGAACCCTAGAATTAGGTTTCTAACATTTGGTATCAGAGCCCGGTTTCGAGAATTGAGTTCACCACAACTCTCAACCGGAGACGATTTCTACAACTGGTTCGACGATGAGCTCTTCAAAGCTCTCGAACCTGTCGTGGGCAGAATTGCGGGACAGAGCCCGCCGCATCGGCCGCCGTTGGCTGCCCGAAGAGCCGGCGGTCGAGCTATCTGGCGCCGCCCCAATCGCGCGCCCCCCTTCGTCGGCCGAGACCGCGCCGCGCGCTGGAGGAGGTCGGGCCGAGCAGCAGCGCCCCGCGGTAGTCGAGGCCGCGCCGCGCACGAGAGTGGAGAGGGCCGAGCAGCGTCCCGTGGTGCCCGTCGCAATCAGATGTCGTGGGCTGTCTGAAGGGTCGCGGACCGCGCAAATAGAAGACGGCGGGGAGCTTTCCCACGCACCGCCGGAGAAGGAGTTTCGTCCGGCGGAAGAAAAGAGAGAGATGGAGGAAGAGGGCGGTGGTCCCCTGTTCCTGACCGACGAGCAGGCCAAACAGATGGCGGCACCGCCGGGAGAGGGAGTGCAGGGGGCGGAGACAGGGAGGACGCGGCTGGCAGCGGGTGACGCAGAGGAGGGAGTCACCTCTCTTCTTGCAAACCCTAGTTTGCCTTCTTTGGGCCAAGGAGCAGAACAGGAGCAGCTCTTTCAGTTGGGCCGAGTGGATGGACTTGTTTTAGGCCAAAGGGATTTGCAGATTGGGCCGCAGCTACAAAATAATTGGGCTAAGAAAGGGCATGGGTGTGTGCTAAAAGGAGACCAACAAAGATGGGCCGAACAAGTAATTCGGTCCGGGCTCAATAATAAAATGAACAGCTGGGTTCAAAGAACAGATGAGTCAAGTCTTCAAGAAAGAGTTGGGCTTCAAATGGGCCCCTTGGTTAGATCACTTTTATATGGAGTGGGCTTCATTCGAGTAGTGGAGCACGATTGGAAGAAAAGAAAGCGCAAGAATGGAGGAGGCAAGACGTGGATTGCACGGTAGGCTGGAAGAAATGGGTCAAACTGATTAACCTTGAGGGCAAGGTTGGTCTCAAGGGGGATGGGATGTTAGAAACACGTTTTCCTTAAGAAAATGGGGTTTCTACCATATTAATTATTATTGTTATTATTAGGTTTTATTAAATATGGTTAGTAGTCTTTTAGTAGAATTAGGTTTAGTATTAGGTTTTCCTATCTTTTTCTATAATTATGTACTTGGGTATTCCGTTACAATCAAGCAAGAACAATTATTCAGAAAAGTATCTCAAACCCTAATCTCTCTCAATTTCGTCACCTATCCCTAGGCCGTCGGCCATTCTTCTCCTCGATCCCCAATTTCCTCTTCTAAATCCCTAATCCCCAATTCTATTCTTCCCAATTCTATCTCAATCCCTAAATATCTATCAATTCTCAATCTTATCAAACCGATCGTTAGAACCCTAGAATTAGGTTTCTAACAGAAGGCCACAGTCATCTACGCAGGCCTTGAATTCCCTACTCGGCGCCATGTTAAACTGCGCCCCTCCCTGCTTTTCCTGAGGTCCTAAGAGGGCGTTGAAATCCCCACCCAGCAGCCATGGACCATCAACCTCTGCCGCCAGTCCCCTCAAGCTTTCCCATAAATTGCGGCGGGAACTTTGAACAGGACTCCCGTACACCGCAATCAGGTACCCTATTTGCCCATCATGAAGTTGGAGACGTAAATGCAGGTAGTGATCACAAATGGAATTATTTTAATTTAATGATAAACCTGTGACAAAAACTGATGTCGTTAACGGAGACTAGCAGAAAACAACACAGCTAGTGATCAAGGTGGTGTAAGTGGATTTATTTAGTGCATGGATTTTCCAAATGATCTCTCATCTCCTCCACCACAACACAGAAAAGCATGTTGGGAAAACCTCAAAAAGGAGAAACTGTTGATTTAAACTACCCAAAACAGAACATTCCTCCTCTAATTCTCCCGCGGTTTTTGGCCCTGATTGACCTCACTGACTGACCGCCTTCTGCAAAACCACTAACTTGGAAAGAATGGAAACGAGAGAAGCTAGCAACATTCCCCTCCATTTCCATTCCATCCCCAAAATTCAATCTTTCCATTTCTGACCAAACTAGCCGTTGGATTCAAAAAAAGACAGACCACCTCAGAAAACTAGCTAGCTATATGTATGTACGCACAGAAAGAAATCTTTCTGGGGCAAGAATCCAAGGCCAAAGATTACAACTTTTTCACTGATCTCAGGCAGCAGAGATCTTCGTTCGAGAGAAAATCTAGTCTCTGGTGATCTTGCCAGCTAGCTTATAGAAAGAAGATCGAGATAGATATGTCAAGCAATCAGAATCAAAATCAGAATCAGAATGGCGGGAGGAGCCGATGCGCAGGGTGCAAATTCCTGAGGAGAAGATGTGCCCAAGATTGCATCTTGGCTCCTTATTTCCCTCCAAACAATCCTCACAGATTCGCTTCCGTCCACAAAGTTTTCGGGGCCAGCAATGTTACCAAGATGTTACAGGTAACACTGCCTACTTTCCCACAACCTCATTTTTGTTTGTTACTGTCAAATGACTGCTATTTATTTGTCTATACATTGCCTATCTTGATTAGTAACTTGTTTTATTTAATAATTCACGACTACCCTTTTGCTTCCAAAGCTTCTTTTTTCCCTTCCCTTTGAAGTTTTTGCTAGCTGTTGGTCAGTAATGAAAGCTGTTGGTGGGTGTTGGACTGAAAACGCAGGCAGTGCCAGAGGAGATGAGAGGGAAAGCAGCAGACTCCATGTCTTATGAGGCAAGCATACGTGTCCAGGACCCGGTTTACGGATGTGCTGGGATGATCTACCAGCTCCAGAATCAGATCATGGAAGTCCAATCTCAGATCGACATTGTCAAGGGCAAAACAGCTTTCTACTCTGCGCAGCAACACCAGCAGCAGCAGCAGCAGATAGAAATTGGTGTTGGAGATGGTGGTGGTTTAGGGTTTGGAGACTTCCATGGTGTTGATGATCAGTTCCTGTTGTGGAATGGTCTAGCTGGTGTTCAACATTTAGAAGACAAGTTTAATTGAGCCTTGTCTTCTTCTTGTTTTTTCTTCCTGTTTTGATTATAGAGTTGAAATACCAGAGGGCCTGGATTCATTTAGCGCATGGTTTAATAGTAACAATGAGCACTAGAGTCAGATTTAACAATCTACATTGATTCAATTCGATCCGGTTTTATTTCGATTACCTTCCTTCTGTTCTTTATTGGGTTAAAGACACATTTGGTCACTGAGATTACAAAATCGGGACATGTTTAGTCACTAGAAAAAGTTAATATCAAATTTGGTCACTACAATTACTAAAACTGGACACATTTAGTCACTCGCCGTTAGTTACCGTCCAACTCCGTTAAAAGAGTCTGTTATGTGCTGACGTGGCTAACGTGAGCGCCTAGTCAGCGCCGTTTTGGGCTGGAAATGGTCAAACCCGACCCGCCACGTCACTAAACCCAGCACGTATTAAACCCAATCCAATCCATTAACCCAACCCGACCCAGAAATAAACCCTAACCCACCTAACCAGACCAGATCCCACTTAAAAAAAAAAACTGATTTGTTTTCATTTCAGACCCAGAAACCATTCTCCTTCCTCGAGAGTTCTTCCCCTTCGCCATTTTCGATCAAACTAATCCTAGAGCAGAGAGCAGGGAGAGATGGAGCCATTAAAGCTACCCCTTGACTGTGAAAGCGTAGTCCCTTGAAGAGTAATTGATTCGGCGAGCAATCTAGAGCGGAGGACAGGGGCGGCGATTTTGGTGGATTTGGTTGGGGGGAAAAAATGGAGACGATTACAGGTATAGAAATCCCTAGTTTTTTATTTCTCTGCGCTTTGTTTCTGGTCTTGTTTTGAAGATTTGCCTGCATCCATCTCTCCTCCGATTTTACCTACCGTTTTGGAAGCTGGAGACGGTGAATCGTCTCGAGGGTTGGTGAAATCGGATGTCGACGCGCCTAAGATCCTTCATGTGAACTACGCAGATGGCCAGATCTACTGTCGGTGACATGTCTGCGCTATTTCAAACGAGATTTGTGGATTTTGACGGATGGGCGCAAAGCCGTTTCTCGTCGGAGCGGCCGATCTATTGTTTGGAAAAAATCTCTTCTATTGATTATTTGGGTTTACCCGTGAGGCTATCCCCTGACTGTGAAATGGGGTCAAGGGGTAGCGTTAATGGCTCCTGCTCTCTGCTCTAGGATTGGCGAAGGGGAAGAGCTCTCGAGGAAGGAGAATGGTTTCTGGGTCTGAAATGGAAACAAATCATTTTTGTTTTTTTTTTAAGTGGGATCTGGTCTGGTTAGGTGGGTTAGGGTTTATTTCTGGGTCGGGTTGGGTTAATGGATTGGGTTGGGTTTAGTGACGTGGCGGGTCGGGTTTGACCATTTCCAGCCCAAAACGGCGCTGACTAGGCGCTCACGTTAGCCACGTCAGCACATAACAGACTCTTTTAACGGAGTTGGACGGCAACTAACGGCGAGTGACTAAATGTGTCCAGTTTTAGTAATTGTAGTGACCAAATTTGATATTAACTTTTTCTAGTGACAAAACATGTCCCGATTTTGTAATCTCAGTGACCAAATGTGTCTTTAACCCGTTCTTTATTGTACTAAATCAAGGGATGCGCGGATAAGGGGTTTAAGATGATCGTCATCGTGCAAAGCAGTGGCTCCATAAAATGTAGTAGCCATAGGCAAAAAGCTGGGGCACAGGGGAACTTGCTGCTTTGACTGAAATTGGTCTACAAAATTCACTTCTTTCCAACTACAACTAGCGGCAGTGGTTAGTGTTGTATGTGTCCATAAAGAAGAGCCCACAACATAATTCCCACTCTCTCTCTCTCTCTCTCTCTCTCTACTCACCGTAATCCAATACCCAGAACCATTGAAGCGCCAAAGTCCTTCACTCTTCTTGCAAATTGCAATTGCTCCCCTGAACTTGACATTCCTTCTCTTTATTCTTCTACTGTTGCTTCCCCTTGCCTCTAATCTTCATCAGTACCCATATCCTGCAACGAGCAACACCAAACCGAGATTTGAGTATCGTTGTAAGCTACTTAATCGAGCAGTATTCCTCGCAAAACAATGAATGAATGGGTGCCAAAAGTTGGAAAACCGGGCGTGCGTCTAACCTGAATTGTCCATGGGGTTGCCGGCAACCACTGGCTCGGGTTCCTTGATCTCCACCACTACACAGTCGGACATCAAGAATGTCTTTGCCACGGAGGAGGCATGCTCCAGGCAGCACCTCACCACCTTGGTTGGATCAATGATTCCAGCTGCCATTAGATCCTCGTACTTCCCCGTTGCAGCGTTGTACCCGTACTTAGGATTATCACTCGATAGTACCTATATTATATTTTATTGCGTACAAGCATGCACACATCAGTATTTTGCTTAATTTTGGTATATATCAGAGCTCAAAGCAAAAAAGGAAGGGGCAGCATAGTTTTACGTACCTTCTCGCTCACTACACTGCCGTTGACTCCGGCATTCTTGGCAATTAGTTTCAACGGGTAGCTCAAAGCTCTCTTCACAATATCAGCACCAACCTATAGGGCCAAAGGAAGCAAACAACCACACTTCAGCCAGATTGCAAACTTGCATGTACAAGAAGAGTACCAGTAACAAAACCTAGTATATACCTTCTCTTCGTCATTTTCGAGGCTTTCCTTAATAGCATCTACTTTTGATGCAAGTCTGAGCAAAGTGCAACCACCACCAACTACGATACCTTCCTCTACTGCTGCCTGAAATACAGATCCAGCAGCGAGACATTTTAGTAAATTGAACTCTTGAACTAGTTAGCTGATAGACTGTTGAGAGTAAAGCACTACTGCCAATTAAGGACACAATACCTTAGTTGCATTCAAAGCATCTTCAACTCTCAATTTCTTCTCTTTCAGCTCAGTCTCAGTTTGCGCCCCAACCTAACAAGTACAAAGACTTGTCCATTTATTACAGAAAAAGGAGCAGCTTCCATGTAGAACTAAAACTCAAGGGGCGTGCAATGATCCAGTTCACACCGGGCCATGCACATACCTACAGTAAAACATAGTTGAAGGTTTACCTGGATCACAGCAACACCACCAGACAGCTTTGCAATTCTCTCATTGAGTTTCTCCCTCTCGTAATCTTGGTCTGCAGCCTACAACCAATTAATCACTCAAGTAATTAGAGGGCAGAACCACTGACATGTCACCAAAGCAGCATTGAGAGATGTTGGTAGGGCCACCAAACAAACCTCAATAAGGTTTTTAATTTGTGCAACTCTCTTGTTTACTGCTTCCTGGGTGCTCCCATCACCAACAATTGTCGTAGTATCCTTAGTAAGTACGATCTTCGAAGCAGTTCCTAGCACCTCCCGGCCAACTTTGTCCAATGAAAGACCCACCTCCTCTCTGATGACAGTTCCTGAATAAATCGAATCGACACTTCTCAGAATCACTGGTGAAATGACAGCTCTAACAAGAAGAATTACACAGCAACTAACACTTAGGACTTGAAACTGACCTCCAGTAAGAATAGCAATGTCATCAAGATACTGGCTCTTCCTCTCTCCAAAACCAGGAGCTTTCAGAGCAGCAATCTTCAGAGCTCCTCTAAGCTTGTTCACAACAAGCGTTGCAAGAGCTTCCTGTTCAATGTCTTCAGCGACTATCACAATGGGGAATCCACTTCTAATTGCATCTTCCAGGACGTTAACAAGATCCCTTGCGTTGCTTATCTTCTTATCAACAAGAAGCAGCTGCAGCAGCCCAAAAGAAGTCAAATTTTAACACAACAATATGCAAACAAATACAAATCCCAATACTCTGCTCAAGCAATCATAAGACTTATACACCTTATACCTTGCAGTTATCAAATTCAACAGACATTTTCTCACTATCGGTTACGAAGTAAGGTGAGATATAACCACGGTCGAACTGCATTCCCTCCACAACGTAAAGGTTGTTTTCTGCACTTTTACCCTCTTCCAAAGTCACAACACCCTTTCGACCAACTTTGCTCATTGCTTCAGCAATCATATTCCCTACTTCATAATTGTTTCCAGCACTAACTGCAGCAACATCAGCAAGTTCGCTGTCTTCAACCTGAAATCATCATTTCCTATGATTAATTGAACAACACAGACGAATTAGTCATCCAACTGACTCGTACCAATCCACGTTACCTCTTTCGAAATTAACTTAAGTTCCTTGACAAGAGCCCTGGTTGTCTTCTCAATGCCTCGAGTAATTAGAACAGGGTTTGCACCAGCTGCCACAACCTGGAAAAAGGAAAGAGCACCAACATCAGTAGCGGCGCTAGAGAGAAAGAGAAACCCCAGCGCCAGAAAACCCATACAGATACCTTAACGCCTTCAGCAATAAGGCCTTGAGCAAGGACAACAGATGTCGTTGTGCCATCACCAGCCAAATCGTTAGTCTTGGCAGCAGCCTGTCGGACCAACTTGGCACCAATGTTCTCGACTGGATCCTCCAATTCGACCTGAAAAAAATAGAGTTAACGAGTTCAATTCTCAAACTAGTATACCTTCAAAAGGCCAACTGAGAAACAACAAAGACGATCGAATCCAGAGGTAAGTAGTTCACCTCCTTGGCAACAGTTACACCATCATTCACGATTTTCGGGGATCCATACTTGCTCTCGAGAACGACATTGCGGCCCTTGGGTCCCAGTGTAACTCCAACAAGGTCGGCAAGCTTGTTCACACCAGTCTGCAGCTTCTTAATCGCTGAGCCATCTTTGTTAAAATGCAACTCCTTGGCTGCCTTACAGGTCATAGGCAAACGTGAATTCCTCAAACCAACATTCTGCTTTCTTCTCCCGAATGAGCTTCCGGAAACTGAAGCAAGGGAAGACAACTTGTTTGAAGGAGACGCAGCTACTCTCTTATCCATCGCAGGGGCAGCCATGGATCCAACCGATGACATGGTTGTGAAGGTTGAAGCCATCTTATCTGCAATAGCAGCAGATAGCAGTGAAAATCCATAGGTAAAACAGACCGTCCGAACCAATATAGAAATTGGGCAAATGGGAAGCTGCGCATTTGATGTAAAAGAAACCAAAAACCATAAAGAAAATTGCAAACTTTAGATGAGAAAATTCCTTATTTCAGCAAAGAACACAAGCCAGAAGCACTTACAGGAAACAAACAGGGAAGGAGATAGAAGATTACCCGGAAGAAATAAACGGAATGCGAGGGCGGAGGAAGGGAACTAGGGTTTAGAGAGCGGGCGGAGAGATTTAAGGATAAGATGGGTTAATGGAGCTCTGTATTTTCCCCTTTTGATAGGAGTTGGTAGTAGGTCTGGAACTGGTATATTCTACCTAAATCTATAAATAGTCACTGAACTAGAGAGGAGCAATTTACAAAAATAATCACTAAAATAAAATTATTTACATATCTAGACACTCTCTCAACTTATTTTCAAATCTAACCACCTACATGTATTTTTGAGAGTCAACATCAAAATTTTAGCGATATAACCACATTTTTAAGTCAATCGACCACTTATCAACTACCCATTTACATTTTGGTCATTAAAAGCTTTTTAAGCAATTTTTATGATAGGACATCATGATATTTAAAGATGAGTCTTCCAACTCAAATGCTCAGCCTAATTTTACTAATTTTGCCCATCTAGACGCTATGGTTCCACTTTCAAGCCGTGGTAGAAAGATTTGATGAAACTGCCACAGAAAATTCTTAATTTGACAGACAGAGGGTAGGATATGAAGTTAAAACCATCTTAAATCAACGACTAGATGCAATTGAAAATGAAAGAAAATTAAAACAAATGGTTTTCAGAATCAGATGTTTTTAAACTTCGTCAAGAAAAAATAGTCCAATACATATCGGACCTGGCTAAGAGAATGGCTAATGCAAGTACTAGCCACTTAGCGAACGAACTTCGACAATCTATGGTTTTAACGAAAGAAGTTTCGATTGAAATAGCTGATTCGGGTCCAATTGTACACATTTTACCCCTCATTTCTTGATAGTTTAGCTTTGCATTTCATCGTCCCTCGATATATTTCACGCCAGGTTGTGCTTGTTTTGATATATTTCAGGTCCTAGCACGCGTGGAAGGGCCGAGGGCGAGTTTCGGGATGATTGGAGGTCAAAAAGCGCAAAAACCGAAGAAAAGTCCAAAGGCGACCGTAACAATTGCCCCGTGACAGTGAACCGCAGGCGTCTAGGAACCAACTAAAGTTCACGGTCACCAGGACCGTGAACTGGAACCACAAACCGTGAACAGAGAAGCGTCCAGAGGGGTTCCGGAGGTTACTGACGACAAGGCAGTTCACGGTCATTAAGACCGTTAACTGCAAGCACAACCCGTGAACTCCGGGAGTGAAGTGGTGCGTTTTGGCCCACAACACTAAGTTCATGGACGTGTTTAGGTGTTCACGGCTATGAACTGGAAGGCCGTGAACTGGGCATGATCTTAGTATAAATGGAGAGCTGAAAGGAAGAAGAAAGAGAGCTTTAGGTAGGGTTTTAGTTTTCATAATAAAGAGGGTTTCTAGTGAGATATTAGGGTTTAGGGTTTCCCCTCCCCATTCTAGAGAGAGAAAGTGACACTCAAAGGAGTAAGAAGGAGATTGGGCTCAATTCAAGCTAGGGGATTGAAGATTTCTTCTTCTCAAGGGAGATTCAAGCAACAAGGGAGGAAGATTTTCACCTCTCCATGGTTCTTTCTCCCCTTTTTGTTGTTTTCCTTTGCCTAGCTATGGATTAGCCTACCTATTCACTTGGGTGTTGTAAAACCTAGCTACAATTATGTGAATGCTTGTATGAATTGAATGATTTGGGTGTGTGGTTGTGTTTTAATGTGAATGTGGAGGTATTATTCATGAATGATTGTGTTGTGTGAAAGCCTATCAATCTAATTGTCATTCTAATCTAGCTTAGAGAGGAGACCTCTTTAGGTTGAGAGGCTCCATTGGAGATGGGTGTTTTTGGACATTTCATGCCTCCTAGGCTAGTTTAGAGAGGAAACCTCCTTCATCCAAAGAGGCTCAATTTGAGTTGGGTTTCCTTGGGCATTCAATGCCTCCTAAGCTAGTTTAGAGAGAACCCTCCTTAACCTAAGAGGCTCTATTAGGGATGGTAGAGATGGGTTTCCTTGTGCATTTTATGCCTCCTATTCTAGGTTAGTTAATGGGCAAACCTCATATTTCGTATTAGCACTTAGGGTTTGATTGTGGGTGGTCGTCCGAACTCCAATTCGAGGGTGAAGTCTAACCATTCCTTAGTCGATAGGTTGATATGTTCACATTAGTGGCTTGGATCATATCCCATTCCTCACCCTAGAGGCTAAGAGGGTAGCTTTGGCTGCTTGTTAGACTTCCATGCGGTTTATGACCCCCTAACCACACACGGTCGTTCGATTCTTCAAGCCGTAATTGTTAGTTAGGGGGGAGCAACACCCAAGTGAGGTCCTCTCATATAGAATTCCCCTCGATTTACTTTACTTACTTGTTTTCATTTGTAGTTCTCATAGTTTTAAATCCAAAACCGTTTTGCTAGATAACAACTTAAGCGATTGAAGTAGGGGTACATGGACCGACCCGGGTTGACAATTTAAATACTTGCCCTATACTGCACCCGACTAGAGTTTAAAAACTTGGGCTCTAGTCGGGATTAATTCACAATATAGTTTCGTGCGAGTCAATAGTTGATTGAACGTTTAATAAACTTGTTATTACTAAGAGAAATTGGTTTAAACCAAATTATCCTCAGTCATAGGACTAATGATGATTTCCTTCCCAAAGATAATCCTTTAAGGTCGAGTATAATTTCAAGTGTTCTTCTCAAATATTGATTGTGAAAAGCATGTATCTGAAAGAATATATGAGTGAATTACAATCCTTAGGATAACAGCTAAAGCATGCAGCTTTATGCCGGATAAAACCTATGAGTTCTGTAAAGCTGCCATGATAGGAAATGCCCAAAAAATTTGGAATAAACTGGCATCCAATACCGCAATTAATGATGAAATCATTAATGAAGTCTTACCTGAAGGCGATTTGGCAATAGTTGCTAATCAATGAAAAGAGAATTTTACGGATTTAAGCTATCGACTGGAACTTTAGAAAAGGGTAATTCTATAATGGCCCTCATGGAATACATGAATAAGTTGTTCTTTGCTAAGCTGCCTAATCATTTGACCGAATTAGAAAAAACAGCTTTTGATCTCCTCATCAACGAAAATCAAATTGTTGATGGAGTAGGAGGAAGAATAAGCAGTACATTATGCCATGAGAAAGGCATGTACTAAAGTTCTAGTTAGGTAGGATATCAAGAGACTACTCTATCTTAACAAGAGTTGTTGTGCCCAAATAGAATATGTTTCTGGCAGGTATGGATGTTCTAACGAATAAGAACAACTACCCATGAACAACAAACATAATAGATATCCTTATAGAAAGAAAAAATTTAAAGGATATAGAAATAGGAGGTTCACAAGAGAAGATAGCAAAGACATGAGGGAATCTGATAAGCCTTTCAGGTTCACAAAAAGAAGAACAAGTCTTAGGGATAATGAAAGAATTGATGCTTTCAAAAGAAAGTATGGAAGCGAAGCAAAGTGTCCAAAAGGGAAACATTTGAGCAACTATTCATGTTGATGGGTTTGGGATCTAAAGATCACAAAGTTAATGCTTGTCCTCACAAGAGTAATCGAAGAGAAAATCTTCGAAGGATATGTCGGCGTTTGATTATGTTTGTTCTTGATAATGCATGCTTCCAATTGAGATATTGTTTGAGATGCTTGCTTGAGTTTTCAATATTTACTTTTCAAACAACAATTGAGTTTCTATCTTTTATTAAGAGGTTGTGAGTTGTAAGATCGAGTTTTAGTAGTACTTCACTATTAAATCAATTAAGGTGAAAATAGCAGAGATAGTAATAAGAAAAAGATAAGTAACCTCACTTAGCTAGCCACATTCACGAGGGATCGTTATAGGACGACGATACGTAACACAATAGTTAATCACCCATGGAACTGGATGGCGATACATAGCATAGTTTTTTATTGCACATTGTTAGATATGCAACAGGACGATGATACATAATGTGGTTGACATATCTCAGTTTTGACTTTTGACATAATACGGCGATACGTAACACGGTGGTCATAACTCATGGTGTGGGGTACCCCATTGTGAAGATAGCCATGTTTAAGTAAGTAAGGCGCGTAGTGTCGAAACTAAGTCGAGGTAGGGGCCCCTTATAGGATAAAAGACACAAGGTAAGAGTTTAGAGTTAAGTTTTTTAGGATGGTGAGTATTAGCAACTCCCACATTTTGAGTATTAAGGTTAAAGGGTGAAAGTAATAACAACTTACATAGTTTTTAAGAACGGTTTCAGTTAAAGAGTGGAAGTAAGCCTGTTAGTCGGTGCAGTTTCGGTTTAACCGAACCATACTTGCGGTTAACCACAATTGAAAGCGTCACTGAAACTGCAACCACAACCGAAGAGAGGTTTGGTCAATGCTAACCACGACCGACGGTTTCGATTTGTCTCTGCGGTTAGCCGAGACCGCTGCTCTGCTAACAAGGGCGGGAGTTCTGGGAGCGGCGAAGAGTTCTGGGAGGGAGGATAGCGACGACGAGTTATGGGATGGAGGATGGCGGCTACGGTAACGAATTCTGAGCTGTTGGAAGCGAGAGGATGGAGGTACGACGAGCTCGCTAGTCGCTACGACGTGAGTTTGTGGACTGGATGGCGACTACGACGGCGACGACGAGATGACTGACGAGGGCAGGCCGCAGGGGGTGAGGATGACGACAGGGTTGGGGAGGAAGCGGCGAGCCTCTTTTGCGATTCAAGCTTCGCGATTTAGGTAAGTGGAAATGGGGGTGAGAATTCTACTCATTTGATTTCGGCCGAATTCCCCCAAAATGACGCCGATAGTGGTTGTGTTGCGGTTGTGCGGTTAACCGCCACGATTGTGGTTATAACCCACTAACCGCCACGGTTGCTGATAGACCGTTAGTTACACATGTTTTTACCCCTGCTCTTACTCCGTTTGAGGTATTGATTCTCGTGTTTTAGGACGATTTCACGCTAGGTTGTGCTTGTTTATGATATTTCAGGTCCTAGTACGTGAATGGAGGCTTGGGAGCGAGTTTGAGGTCGATTGGACGAGGATCGGACGCATGGCGAGGTTCTGAGGAAGTCGCACGGGCACACCCACAACCCGCACGGCCGTGCAAGTGACCAGTTTGGCCGTGCGGGATTGTGCGTGGGCACGCACGGGATTGTGCGTGGCCACGCACGGCCGTGCAACACATAATTCTGG